GAAGCGGAAGAACCAAGCAGGAGATTATGATCATAAAGGTTTCAACGCTGATACCATCCTAAAGTGGAATGATTGCGACATATGGTGGGCAGATAGCGGAGCTAGCTGCAGTATGACCTTCCGACGTGAATGGTTCAAGTCCTTCACTCCGATCCACAACGATCATAGAATATACCTTGGAGACAACACTTCCGTCCTTGCAGAAGGTACAGGTGACATTGAAATACTTGCCCTGGGGAATGGAGAATGGATTACAACATCAATCAGGAATGTGCTCTACTCTTCGAAGCTCAAGAAAAATTTGTTCAGCCTGGGAGTGTGCACTGAAAAGGGATACCGAGTAGACATCGACAAGGATGAGCTGCGCATCTACTCAAGAAAAGATCTGAAAGCAGTTGGACAACGCCAAGATGGGCTCTACAAGATGATGTTCCGAGTTACTTCATCTTCACAAGGATTTTCTGCAAAGATCAACAACCTCCAACTGTGGCACGAAAGACTAGCACACATCTCACTCACCACTATTCGAGAAATGGCCAAGAAAGGATTGATCAACGGTTTGCAACCCGAGGACATAAAAGAAGACGATTTCTTCTGTCAAGGCTGCCAAGAAGGAAAAGCTCACAGAAAGCCTAGTCATTTGTCTGAAGCAAAGGAGTACAATCCTGGTGAGTTCATTCTATATCTGCGGCCCTATGCCAACACAATCAATAGGAGGATCACTTTATTTCATTTTATTCAAAGATTATTCCAGTGGTTTTCGCCATATAGATTTCATTAGACACAAATCCGATATTTTACACAAATTTGAAAACTTTGCTAGATTCAGTTATAATCAAACAGGCAATAAAATTAAAGTGATTAGAACCGATAATGCACTAGAATATACCAGTAAAGATTTAACAAATACTTGCAGAAAGTTCGGAATAGTGCATGAATTGTCAGCTCCATATGTTCACGAACAGATAGGGCGCGTAGAACGAGACAATAGAACTATTGTCGAAGCAGCTCGATCGATGCTGTGCGCACGAAATCTTCCCGAAGAACTTTGGGCAGAAGCTTGCAATACTGCAACCTTCATTCTAAACCGAACATTCACTAAACAAGCTCCCGATACCACACCCTATGAACTCTTTTTCGGAAGAAAAGTTAGTTTATATAATCTAAAGATTTTCGGCTGTGAAGCATGGTTGCATACACCTAAAGAACGTAGAAGGAAATGGGATAAGAAATCACAAAAGATGATTTTCTTAGGGTACGATAAAACATGCACTAACTTTCGACTCTGGAACCCTTCTACTAGAAAGATTTCTATTTCTAAAGATGTTACTTTTAACGAGACAGAACTCCAAAATTACGAACTAGAGGGAGAAAACATGATCCCAGTTAACATTGACCTTGATCCGCCGCCGGCACCAACGACCGAAGATGAATCACCTACAGCGCTACGGTTTCCCACGCAACCGGTTTTCCACCCGATGATAACTCGATCTAAAAAGAAAGCAGATTCTTGTAACTACCATTTTGTCGATGAGCCTTCAACCTATAA